CGAGATCGTTTTATGCGCGTCTTTTAGATTCAGCTCTCGGGTTCAATTTTGATTGTCCGTTATAAACTGAGAAAAACATGTTCCTCATAGTATATAATGGCTGAAGACCAGACTAGCATTTTAGTCACCGAGTCTGTTTGCACTTGGAGAGTTTTTCTACAACCATTGGACCGAATTCGCGGAAGCGATAAGGAAATACCGAGAAAAGCCCTCGACCCACTGCCGACTGCTTCCACGAATTTAATCGGACGATTACTCCGTCAAAGAAACGCCCGCTCTTACGCTGCCTTCATCTCAAACCTTTCTGGGATCTCCAAGGGACCAGTGATGGTGGAGACAAGAAGATTCTTCGTCGAAAGAAACTTTAATGTAAAAAAAATATTTTTAACGAAAAAAAGAAAGGTTCTGTAAACAAATAAACAGACCACTTCTTGAAAGAGCAAACAAAAAAGTATATATGTATATATAGTTTTCTAAAGAATAACTGTCGTCCACTAGTAAAAAAAAAAATTGTAAACAAGAATAGGTTCTCTTCTATGAAACAATGCAGAAGCAGCTCCTCGATTAAATTGCCACCAAAGGCACCTTTGATAATGGAAACACCCCAGAAATACGAGCACTCAGACTGACAGGAGATTCTAGGAATAAGACCAGTATCCTTCCCGATAGCGTTCCTTCTGCAGGTTCAACTTCGCACGCTAGGAGTCGTCGGCCTCGCCGAAGTATGAAGATGTGATCCGCGATACGGTAATACCGTGCCGTATGACGTCACCTGAGAGTCACATGTACGTGACGCAAGGAGTGTGCAACTATGTGAAGAGAAGCTTGGCTGCTTTGGCCTGGCTGCGAGCTCATCTCACCAAAGTTGTAATGGAAGACCGTTAGTGTATATCATGGTGATCACAAAGAAATCATGACTACGGTTTCAAAATGATGTATAAATACTGTAAATAAACATTTGGTGAAGTGTGCGTCTCTTGGTGATTCATTTGAGGTGCGGTGCTCTGCAGCTTCGCTGGCCAACCACCTCCACAGATGGCTCGCAATATTTTTCCCCCTATCGCAATTTTTTTAAACATTTCTGGGGTAGGGAAAAAATCCTTTCCTGCAATTTTAGATAACTATTCAGCTAACAGCACCAAGATGGCTGAAGTGGTGTGTTCTTCCAAAGGACCCAACAACGTGGAACCTGCGAGTCCCGCTGCGGCTCGTGCCCTAGGAAAGGGCCGCCCGGGGCCTATCCGTTCCCCAGGTAACCGGCTGGCCCGGTGCCCGCGGGGCACCCACGGCATTCTCCGGTCTAGACGGCAACAATTAGCCGACGACGCAGCCCTTGAAACAGCCGGGTCTCGGCGTCGCCGCCGGTGCCTTCCCACGGTCCGCCGGCGCGGAATGCGCCCTTCCTGTCCGTTATTTACAAGGTACCGGTGGCCCAGTGTGTTATACGTCCGGACGCAGACGACGCAACAAGCTGATGGGACCGCGTCAAAAGCGCGACGACACGGTGTTCTTTACGCGTCCGTACGTTTTCTTTCCTCGCCGAACCGATCACGTACAGGGAAGTGACTCGCACTTTTGAGACTTGAATTGGTCTCATCAACTCGTACCGCCGGCTGCGTCTGGGCATCAAGTGAAACGAGGCACAACGCATTGCAGCTGGGAACACGTGGAGCGAAAGCTCGCGCTGCCGAGCACTCGGATCCTCGGTTCACTCCCCACTGTTCACCCTCAAGCTGAGACTACAGAAGCTCCGCCTTCAGCGCAAGCTCGCTGGCTTCCGCAGTTGCTGTGATTGCGCGTGCCTGCTGCGCGTTCGCAATTGTGTTAGCGAGGGCAGAAAGTTCGCGCTGAAGGCAGAGCTTCTCTGGTCTCACTCGTCCGGGCCGTAAGAGGTTTTTCACTGGCGTCCATAGCTGTGTGCGCGACTGCTGAGCGCGTGCTGATGGCGAGCTTCCACATTTCTTTTGTAACGTGCATTCCGCAGCCTCAAGATTGCCGGTCTTAGCAGCCTATTAATGTGGGCTCGTTCAGAGCATGCGCTCCAGACATCACCCACAAATATGGCTCCCAGTGAATACTCCTTATAGAAAAGGGACCGCGGGCTCATCTGTGGATATAGAGCGGGATACTGCTCTAATGGCGGCGGGAATGTGGAACGAAGTTGCCCAAATCATGCATTCTCTATTTCGTGAATTGGACGCGACGTATATACGTGTGCCAGTTTGGGAAAATTCAGTCTCCGCCCCCCGCTCCCGGGGACGTTCAGTTGTGGCGATGTGGAGAAGCCGCTGTACGCTGTACCTGGAACGTAGATTGGACTCGTCCCTCTCTGAATAGAGAAACTTTTAGAAAAGAGTTCATCGCGGAACATACCTGCCTTCCTCTAAAATGTATTACTCTATTGCAACGCGTAGTAAGGTCTTTTATTTATTTTTTTCTTTTCCCCTCAAATCTTAGAGGTAACAAACAACACGCACGATGTTAGGACGCGCTCGGGAAATACGCCTGCCAATTTGACCATGTTCGCCCAAAATAGACATTAAAAACCAACGAAAAGGCGCTCGATCTGTCCATTCCTCCCTTTGTGGACTGTTTGCGCGCTGCTACCAGGTTGTAGTTATAAACGAACTCAAAAAAAAAAAAAAAGAAGAAAATAGACACCTTTCCCGTACAGCTCTGGAGCGCTGCGCAAAGCCAATCCCCCCAAAACAACTACGCAAGCAAAAAGGGGCCGCCACGAACGTCTCATGAAATCACATTTACCGTAAGCAATCAATTTGAAAAGAAACAGGAAATAAAAGTACGTGTATGTACCAAAAAAAAAGAAAGAAAAACACCTCACGATGAAAGGAGGACAGACATTCGCCTTTTACGTCATTCGTAAACGCACTCGCGCTTGTCGCGCGTAGACGTGGAAGTCTTCCGATGAGAGACGCCGGCTTGCCTTCTCCCTTATCGCATTCGCTTAGCGGACGCGCCCTCGCTGTCGGAGTTGGGCAACATTTTTAATCACCGAAGAACACGCGATACGGTCATTGTGCAGCTAGGCCACGACAGTAACGTTTCAATGTCGGAGTGTCGTCTTTCGGTGGCGTTGATTTTGGTTTGTGTCAAATCTCCGTCGAGTGCGCATAAGTCGATAATATATTACGAAAATTCTAAAGACATGTTGCTGACCAGTTTGCCGCCTTGCTTTTGTTTCTTTGGGGGAGGCGTATACGTGCATGCGCGAGCACGCGATGCTTGCGCTTTAGTTTCTTATTATTAGGATAACAAACATTCAATAAGTGCCAATTAATTCATGTACAACATGTTAAAAAAATAACGGATTTAAATATAAAGTGGGTTGGGGATGTGGGAAATAGCAGGAAATATGATAAGCCGAAGCCGAGAATATTCCTTCGTATTTATATCAAACTATCTTTTTATCGATTTCCTACAATTTTAAAGGGGCCATGAAGCGAATTTTGGGCTGGGATGAATGATTTTAAATTGGGACTTTACTAATCGCATATCGTTTAGCTGGCCAAAAGAAAGAGGGTAGAAAGTCAAAAGCCAGCTTTTCGGTACGAACATTTGAAAATATAGCGGACTATTTTGTACCTTCTTTCCTTCGGAAGCTCTCCGCCTTTTTCCTACGATATATCCGCGGTTCCCAAAGCGCGTCAGCGGTGCCAACATGACGTCAGCCGGGCCCAGCTCACGCATTGGACACGAGAACTGCGTCACTCGGACGTATGCGCTCGTCAACAATCACGATATATTCGGATTCGCGTTCGTGGTTCAATAAGTGCCCTGACGGAAGTTATCGTCACTGGGGAATGACAAGTTATAAAAAAGCACGGTGGAAGCTAGGAGTCATCGCACCGGTGACGAAGAATGTCACGACGACGTGATTTCACAATTTGCATTTGAGTTGAGAATTAAAGCTAAGGAGGAAAAAGTAGGGAAAACCGTTTCATAACCCCTCTCAAGTCAAAGAAAACGTCACTGACTGTAAGAAATGAATGATCCTGAAAGTTACGAAATTTTACGGGTAAAAAAGGAAAAATAAAAATAAGCTTAGAAAACCATGGAAGCTTCCATCGAGTCAGACGGACCATAACGGTCATATATAACCGATCGCTCGTGCTGTCGTTAGTCACGGAGTAGTAGAGACGCGGATAGTTGCAGCGGCAACGAACACAGGCAAGGGGCTGCTTTTGTTCATCGCAAATCCTGACCAGATTTTGCGGTAAAGGACCAGGTAGCAACTGTAATCGATCGCAGTTAACCGTGCCGACTCCTTTCAATGTAAGTTTTACGCACGAAGCAGACTTAAAATCAATGCCCGAAATAGAAAAGGGAAAAAAAATTACGTACCTGAGAGTTTATCAACGTCGCAGTCAGACTCTGCATCATTTTCGTCGGTTTCTCTGCCTTCTAGCTTGGCGACGTTCATTGCCTGAGACAAAACGCCAGCGCTGGCGTCGTTCATTGCAACGTTGCGGCTATCCTAACGAAATAACCGCACATACAAAAACGCTCCGCGAAATTACTATCAGTTCACCAGAGCAACTTGGCAAGTACCGAGCACGAGTCCGATACACCTAACATCTGTAGAAATTGGCACTGCTGCAAAGACTGCAAACCCGCTGTTTATGGGCGGGCTTGAGCGAACGTTTCAAGTTTCGCCGCTTTGTGATCGGGGGCGGTTCTGGCGCTGTAAGTCAATCGGTTATGACTGTCGTACTTTGTCGTGTTTTTTTTAATATACATTTAATTTTTGTAAAATCTGTAATACTTAAATATATCACAAACTTTTATACGTTTCTACAAAGTATTGCGGCACTTCTCCTGTCTTGTTTGCATGCACCCAGGGCACTCCGAAAAAAAAAAAAAGTACCAAAACGACCGATTTTGATTTGGTTCGGTTAACCCTGTGCAATCCAATCCAGAAGTCAAATTTTGTTTTCTGGATTTGAAGCCAAGCGCCAAGCCTTTCTTGCGTTGGACGCTTCTCGTGGTTGTGGCGATTTCACGTGTTGCTGCTGCTTGGGGTCTTCCATCCTAATTGTAGTTGCGTCCTGTAACCCGGCGAAACATGGGGAACGCCAAAACTACAAAGAAAAGAAAAAACCGCTACAACTACAGCATAAATCGTAAGAAGAAGCTGAAGAAGAAGGCCAAGCGTAGGATCAAGATCCAAAGTGTGCCCGTGAAAGAGGCCTGGGAGGAGACCAAAGGCGTCTACGACAACTTGCGGGACATGGGTCTGGCCGCCGACCCCAACGAAGCCCTTTCGATCGCGGGCAGCAGAAAAAAGGTCAAAGCACCCAAGCGAATCGTCGTGAAGAAACTCGAAGAAGAAGCGTCGCAACCGACGGCGAACACGCTGCGTCTGTCTGGCGACAACGTCAAGTTCTGCGTCTACATGCTGGAGAAGTACGACGAAGACTACGTGGCCATGGCTAGGGACCGAAAAAACTATTTCCAAGAGACGCCCGCACAGATCCGGCAGAAGATCCAGACGTTCAAGAAGATACCGGAACAGTGGAACGCTTACCTGAGGGCGAAGGAAATGGTGTGAGGCGGAACGCAGTGGCTGAAATACAGGTTTTATTCTGGGGCTATCTGACGATTGCTGAAACACCTTATTTAATGACTATCTGCGCGTTAAATTTTGTTTTTATCTAAGGTTTCTTTTATTAGACGTTACGTGTTTTTTAGCGGTGTTCTGCAAAACATCGCGGTCTTGTGCAGTTTGTGCGATTGCCATGCTGTTGAATGAACAATGGCGAACTTCTGTTTGGATAGCGAGTTTTATAGAATGCAAAAATATTCCATAGAATCGATTCGTCGAGGAAGCACTCCCATAAGCTGAGAACCGATTTGGTAAAACTTGCTATCCAAAAATTGTGATTCCATTTCAGTAAGAAAATAACAAACAAACCTATCCACAAGCTCGTGCAACTCAACTGGAAATGGCTAGTTGTCTGATGCATATGCAGCGAACCCAAGTTCAATCCCGCAAACCTTTTTTTTTTTTTCTAACATTTATTTTTTTAGTTTTTGGTCGAGCATTTAACTATATTTACGGCATTTCTTTTTTACAACCATCACTGAACAAAACAAATGTTGTCGACGAAACTTCGCAGAACTAAATTAAATGGGACTCCCTTTCCGGAGGTGCAATGAAGGACAGCGGGGCTTGGTTTGCCGGCTGGACGCCGCGAAGTGGCGTCCATAAGAGGCCAAGTGGGTTAATAGGTTTGTAATTAGCAGTTGCAGACTATCGCTGCGAAGCGGCGTGAATGCAGGTGGGGGTGGGGGGGTTAAACACGCTCCCCAGTGATACACGTGCCCTTCAAAAAGGGTGACCCATACGGCATGAGCTCTATGTGTCGTGCGTATAGCCATTTCCAGTCAAGTTGCACGAGCTCGTGCATATAGCTATACTCAAAACAATATCCTCTTTCTTGCTGAAAACTTTTGTGCTCCCACAGTGTCCTTTCTTAACAATATTAGGCTTAGGTGGGTGTCGGCTCATATTGAAATTTTGTTTTTCTCAATTATCTTTTGATCAAGGCAACATCATTTTCTGAAACTTCGGCGTTTTATCCCAACCGCCAGCATCACATTCTCACGGAGTTGGAGCCCTCTGCGATACATAGTTTATTTACCCTGGCCAAAAATCATGGTTCTGGCTTCTCGGAAACTCCCTGTACTACTTCAAGTAGGTTCATAAAACTTTTACTTTATTTGAAGTATAGGGTGTATGAAATAACCAAGCCCGATCTAAGATGGGCAGTAGAAATCGGTGCCTGCACTTAGCAATCTAAATTTTCGTCAAATGTCTATTTCATAGGTCAGTTTAATCTTGAAAAATTACAAAGCGTAGCTCCCTCTCTGTAAAAAATGGGGCTAAAAACGTGCCAGGGTCAACGGCAGACGGCGACGCAGACAACTAAGTCAATTGGCGGGACACGTTTGGCGCACATCAGAACGACACCGAGCTTTGATTGATCGATTTGACATCAGTGCTAGATGCCCTAAGGTCTACCCACTATTTTTTCCAATGAGCCAATAAGAGCTCAGCGTTCCAACACCATCACACACCCTGTACAAGCAGACGAATTTGCGCTCCACATGAGAGCGTGCTTGCAAACGGCAGTGCATCACCGGCAGCCACAGCGGACCAATGTGAGTGTGCGTGCCTGGATGTGGGATATGCCATGAGCCAAAAATGGCGACGCGTAGCCAGCATCCAATAGGAGCGCCCGCGACATGATCAAACGGTGGCGGTACTTGGAATAAGTCAGGATAACCCAGCGCTTTATTCTGATGGTACTCCCAACGCCATCTATCCATAAATGTGCCCTGCCCCTCGACTCTGTTGTCTGCATCACCGTTGACCCTGTCAAGGAATTTGGCCCTATTTTCTACAGAAAGGGAGCTGTGCTTTGCAATTTCACAAGATAAAACCGACCTCCAAAATACACCTCTGTCAAAAGAGCAAATTCGGAAGACACCTAAGCACTTCTTACGAGTTGTGAATTCGCCAATAAAACGCCGCGAGTGATCCACTGAGTTTTGTGGCACGAGTAATGTTTTCGAGTTGTGGCAGAAGCACCGGTGACGATGTGGATGCTAGAGGCGGCGCCATGTTCGTCGGCGGCGAGATAAGCAGAAGCACCGCCGATGACGTGGATGGTGGAGGCAACGGCATGTTGGTCGGCGGCGAGACGAGCAGAAGCATCCGAGCGCGCACCAACGTGTTCGTTTTAACCGGCGCGGGTTGGCAATTACTTTTACCGGCACGCTGGCGGCACGGACATGCAGTGGTCGTTGAAACTGACAGGCGCAACGGCCAATGGAAGCCTCGTTGCCGCGCACCAACCAATGGGACCTTTGGGATCAAGGAAACTAGGTGCCGTTTTCACGCTTCAAACTGATGACATCGGCCTGCTTTATATGACCCCCAGTTGATGCTTTCGCATTAAAAAGTTTATTGCTACGTGCAGGCGCCGATTTTTATGGCCCATTTTAGATCATACCTGGTTATTTCAAACACCCTATATATTGTCGCAGATGGAAACAGATCGACAAGCACATAACAGAAAATGAAGATTTAATCGGCGAAATTGTGCCTAAAAACGAAATGATAAGCGTCGACGGCTGCAGCAGCGAGCGATGATGCACCAGGGTGACAGCTCTCTGCAAGTCGACACAGCCACGCTCAGCTCCTTATCTTCTACACTTGACATCTTGAACATTAGACATAGAATGTTTGCTAGTGATCTAGGGCGAGACTAACTAGTGTCGATGACAGGTTAAGAGATCAGGGCAAGGGAAAGGAAGGCTGGGAAGAAAGAAGCAGGTGGAATGATGAAGCGAGAGGGATGTTTCCTCCTCTCCTCTTGAGCAATCCATCTGCTTCTTCCTCCCCAGCCTTCCTTTCCAAATATGGGCATGGTCATTTTGGCCTCCTTATTTTTGACACTCGGGGTAAGAGTAAACTCAAATCTTCTAGACACTAGAGGCACGGAGAATTGTTCCCTCTGTCATGCACTCTTGGGGTCTTACTCAGTGTTGCCAACCTATTTTTTGAAAATACTCCACGTTAGCGTCCAGAAAACCCTACATTACCCTACGATTGTTTCTTCTTAGCCTACATTTTACCCTACGAGGCAAATATTTGCTTAAATAATACTGTTGCATGGATTATGATGATACAGGGTAATATTAATACAGTACAAAGCGACAGGGCACGCATACACGCGCATACCTACATTATCCTAGAACACCAGCTTGCATGTGCGCTGTACAGCATCAGCACAACAGTGATGCAGCGAGCGCACAGACATCACCAACCAACATGTTTAACCAATTTGTCGCAAAATTAAAAACTGGGCTACGTGGGACCAGCACTCGCGGTGACAGACAAGGCGACTCATTGCAAAAGAAAGCTAATCCGAGCGGTATATTAGCTTCTTTGGATGTCCCGCCTAGGGATTCTATTTCGACAAACTAGGCTATTACGCCAAAAGGAGGATAGGAAAGAGGCGACTCTTCCGTATTCGCTAAAGTGTCATTCGATGAAACGTCATGGTTTCGGCTTCGTTCGCTCAAGTGAACGCCTCCAGTCCCAATTACTTCTGCAGTCGGTAAACGGTCTTCAAACTGCCTACCGACTGCACAACGTGCCGAAAGCTCCGCAGGAGCTTTGAAATCGGTCTCCGTACTTGTCGATCATCCGTGATCGACGCTCTATGGGCGTGGTAAGGAGAGTTAATTGCAATGCGCCATAATGAAAAAGCGCCCAGAACGAGGGGTAGTTCCAGCTATGGTTATTTGCAGCAAGCACATCTTACGTCAGCGCGTAAAAAAGCCCACAAAGCCCAGTTGAACAGGTGGCTGCCGTTTCTGGTGGGCTCGGGGTGGTTCCGCCCGCGGTTCCACGTGTTTCGCAGGTGTAACAAGGACCACTGGATGGACCAGAGTTATCAGAGAAAAATTAGCAGGACCATTTCCACTGGGAAGATACCTCTTCTGGCTCCAAACTTCCTAAGTGCAACTCCACGTCCTCCCACCTCTCCCACTTGCTCCAGCTCTCCAATACTCTCAAACTTGATGTGTGGTGCTCTTTGTTAGCACGTCTTGCAACTTGCATACTTTCGTTTTGCATGATGTGATGTGGGAGCACACCGGTTGTAAAGCTATGCAAAGCTTGCACGGAAACTTTTTTTTTTTTTTTATATTATTATGCTTGTTGTTGAAGAAGCAAACTCTGAAAATACCCTACTTTTGGCGGGGAAATGACCGGACGGCCCTACAACCCTACGATGTTCCAAAAATCAAGGGCCGGCGTTGGCAAGGAGGATAGAAGGGTAGGAGAGGGCATGACGTCGGCCGCGTTGCCTCCACAAGCCATGCTCCCTTGACGCCTCGCCTCTTTCTCATTTTCCTCCTTACTCTCCTCACTTACCATGCCAATGTGACCACATCACGTGACCGTAGCTAGCCTTCATCTTGCTATGGGTACTATAATACACCACAGTGTAGCCTTCGATCTGATAAAACCTACCGGACGGAGCGCGCGCAAGCCTGCAACGAGTCTTTATACAATCAACCATCTATCTCACACGTGACACGTCACGCGCACCAATCGCCAGAGAGACCTGCGGTCACGCTGGGCACAAAATCGTTTAAACTTTTTATGACTAGGCTTCACCAATATTGCAACGTGCCCCCTCCTAGTACTTCTAACCTCCTTGGGCGTTGGGTCGACCCGGTCGACGCAACCATAGAGTTATTATAATGTACGCTAGAGCTTCAAGTGGCGCTAGTGTGCTGACGCAAATTGAAGCAGACAGCAACCAGTCGGAAATTGACTTCCGGTAATGCATTTCTATGGGAAAAAGTGAGTGCATTTTCTCTCTGCGCTCAATCATAAGAGCAAATATCCCGAATAATTCATACGTACTAGGTAGCTTGGAACATTTCTCAGTCAAGCCGACGAAATAATTGGTCAGTTACGGTGTTTTTCTTTCAACTTCATCGCATTAAAATATGGTGCTAAAACAGCTTCGTACGTGTATTTATGTGCCTGTCGGACACTGTTAGCGCGAACACGAC